CCGCCGGGGGATGAATTGGCTGGCTTGGGTGTCGCAGTGTCGTTACGTGAGCGCAGCGGCACGCCGCCTTACGGCAGGCCGGCCGACTGGCAGACAGCCGGAAACATGCGCGCACACAGTGTGCCAGTGCCACACAGTGTGCCACACAGTGTGCCAGGCGGCTCGGGTTACCGTTTGCCGTGACACCGTGACGCGTGACGGACACGGGGATGACACCGGCCGACCCAAAACGTGACACGCGCCTGCTCTGTTTTCGCAGTGGTGTGTTTGTCCCGGCTAAATGTTGCCTCAGCGCAGACAGCGCCCAGGTGCGATAATGGTCATCGGAGCCCCCGGCGCGACGAGGCGACGCCACACTGGAAAATGATGTCTTTGATCCGCCGGCAGGCCCGGCAAAGAGGACGCTGGGAACCTGGGGCGGAGTCAGGGGGCATTTTCTGTCCATTAGAGAGGAGTAAACTCTCCTGACGCACCGACGCGCAGTGGGCCAGAAGACCGGTGGAGGCGGTCAAAATGCCGGACGCGTTTTGAGCTCCAGAGCCGCTAAACAGGACTCGAACCGAACGTGTGACCCCACCAATGGATTTCTCGTTCGAAGAGCAATTCATTGGTGGGGTCACACTCAGTTCGAGTGCCATTTAGCGACTCAGGAGCTCAAAACGCGTCTAGAGTTTCGGCCGCCTCCACCGGTTTTATGGCCCACTGTGGCACGGAGTGATTGAATTCTTTTTCCAGCGACATGGACGAATGGGCGATTCGCTTCTTTTTCCAGTGGGCCAGCCCATTTTCCTGTTTTCACTGGTGCTGCTTTGCCTTGCCGCTTTGCTGCTCGGTCTGCGTTCCCGCTGGTTCCCGCTGCCTGGCTGCACCCTGTTTGTTTTTTCGAGCCAGTGGGGTGGTTTTAGCGTTTCACGGCGTATCAGCCCGCCAAGTGGGAAAGAGGGGGGCTGGTTGCGCTTTGAACCCACCCTGCTGCCAAACGTTGTGCGAGTCATCGTTGGTCTGAGAGCCCTTCTCTGTCTCCCTCGCACTCCGTGCCGTGTCGGTGGGAGAGAGGCAGGGCGACCAAAACGACTCTCGGAATCAGCCTACTGCTGGACTCGAATGTCGTCGTCGATGATAAGTCTGACTCGCACACTGCACACCTCTTACGTAACGCACCGACACACTGCGTAAACACGGCCGAGCGCGGCATTTGAGACGCCCGGTTGCAACAGTGTAGCAGAGCAGGCCCAAGTCCGTTTCCGCACACGACTGTCCGGCCGGGGCGTCGTGGCCCTGCGGGCCCGCGTGGCCCTGACCCTACGCCTGCCCCGCCCTTCGAGCCCTCGCGCTTCGGCCACTTTCCGTGCCGCTGCGTGACGGCCATTTTTCGTGCCCTGCGTGCCCTGCGTGCCCTGCGGCCCTGCGTGCTTCCCTGCGTGCCCTGCGGCCCTGCGTGCCCTGCGTGCCCTGCGTGCCCTGCGTGCCTGCGTGCCCTGCGTGCCCTGCGTGCCCTGCGTGCCCTGCGTGCCCTGCGTGCCCTGCGTGCCCTGCGTGCCCTGCGTGCCCTGCGTGCCCTGCGTGCCCTGCGTGCCCTGCGTGCCCTGCGTGCCCTGCGTGCCCTGCGTGCCGCTCGTCCCTGCGTGCCCTTGTCGTGCCCTGCGTGCCCTGCGTGCCCTGCGTGCCCTCTCCTGCCTCGTGCCTGCTGCCCTGCTGCCCTCGTCCCTGCGTGCCCTGCGTGCCCTGCGTGCGTCGGAATGGCACCAGTTGATTCGCTGCGTGTCACGCGGGCCCTTGTTCACCTGTTATTCACCGGAATCGCGGCTCTAATCTCTCTCTCTCTCTCTCTCTCTCTCTCTCTCTCTCTCTCTCCCCCCCGTCGAGCGGAAAGTGGCTTTCCTGTCTGGAGGGTGTGACGCACTGTCTGCCGCACTCGGGCCGGAACATGTATTGTATTGCAGCTTCGCAGACACCGTTGTCGCCCTGGGACTAATAACCTGGGGACTGATTCGTTTCTCTGTCTCTCTTCCACTCATGGTGCGTCCCCATGCTGCGAGAGAGACAGGGCGACGAAAAGGACTCTGGGAATCGGTCTGCAGTAGGCAGGTCATAGGGGGTGAAGTCCACTTCCTATTTCTCTCGTGCCTACCCTGCTGAATTTCCGTTCCTGACCTATTTCCAGTGCAGCCACTAACCCACAGCCGCACGCGAGGATATAATTGCACAAGGGGTGCAAATTAGCGCCACCGCAACGAAATTAGCCGTCCTCCTAATCTGCTGCTTTAAAATTCGCCGCGGTGGTGGAGCCTCGATATTTTCCTTCCTCCGCGCAACGCATCAAGTGGACTGACGGGCTGCCTGTGTCCCTCGGCAAGCGCCACGGTTGTCCCAGTGTGGTGGCCGCTGGCTGGCCGCTGGCTAGCCGCCGGCATGGCAAGCCCAAGGCCACCGCCAGCCGTCGCTCTGTCTCTCTGTGGGGCGTTTGGCGGCGGTGCGAGAGAGAAGGAGAGAGAGGGCGGCGCGGTAATTACGAGCACCTTTGGCGGCGCTCCGCTGCGACACTGACCGATGCCGGGCCACGTGGGACTCGCACGCACGGCACACTGGAAAATGAGGCGGAGGCATTGATTTCCAAAGGCGATGAACAGTGTATCGCTCCGCGCTCCGCGCCGGGCATGACCGGACCCTTTGGCGCCTTGGCCGCGACCGCGATGAGATTGTGTCGAAACGATCGCTTCGCGTGCCGCCGGAATTAAGTCCAGATTGCAGAGGCTGTCGTGGGCGGTGCGACCGGCGCGGTGCGACCGCGGCGGTGGTGCCACTCGCAGCGGGGCCTCCAGGGCTCGAGGCTTCGCCGGACGAAGAGCAGGACACGCTGCCTCAAAGAAAAGCTCGTGACCCACCAAGTGCTAGACCACTGCACGCGGGCTGTAAGTTGGGTGGTCTAACCTCTCAGGCGGTGCTGGCCCAGTGCGGAGCAGTGCTTTCGACGCTGTCTCTCGCACGCTTGGGGCGTCCTCTTGAATTAAAGCGTGCCGGGTGGTAATGAGCACTGAGGTGGTCTTTCGACACCTCTCCGAACACGAGGTGCACTTCATGACGTCGGTGTTGTCCTCGAGGCAAAGCCCTGTCCCGGTCGGCCGAAGCATTCATTCAGTCTCGCTTTCGCTGAGGCGCAGACGGCGTGCCACCTGGTGCCACGCTCTCATAACGAAAGGACGGAGGCTTGTTGGAAACCATTACCGCCGCCGCCTTGCCCTCGGTGCCTTCGTTGTTTTTGCTCTTCGCGGGCAATGCCTGGGCAATGCCTGGGCCGGATCTACGCGCTATTTGGTCTGTGGGTCGTGTTGGGGCGGCAGGCACAATGCGTTCGGCTGCGCTCGCTGCTCGGCTCGGCTCCGCCCTTTGGTGCAACCTCCGGCCAGCCATGCGTGGCGTCGGCATCGTGCTCCGCGACGCGAACGCGACGCGAGCGTTGGAGGAACTTTTCTTTTTGGTGGTAATGGGCGCGTTATTTGGCGGCGCTAAGGCTCCGCTCCGCTCCGCGCTCCGCCCGGCCAACGCCAGGCGTGGCGGCCTTGCCGGGCCTTGCCTCGCGGTGCCTCGTATCGACCGCCAAAGTAGCGTTTTGCTTGACGGCTCTAGGTCGGTCCAGATGGGGGCGTCCATGGCGGCGTCCATGGCGGCAGGGTTTGCATTCGTCTGGCCTGCAGGCTGTCTCTCTCGCACGCCCGGGCCGTTTCCCCCGGGCGAGTGAGAGAGAGAGAGAGAGAGAGAGAGAGAGAGAGAGAGAGAGAGAGAGAGAGAGAGAGAGAGAGAGAGAGAGAGAGAGAGAGAGAGCGGAAACACGCGGTGCTGGGAATCGCTCTGCCGGCGCGGCCTGCGCGGCCCGGCGGTGCAGGCGAGCCGCCGTCAAAGTGAACAAGGGATTTCGCGGATGCTTTATTCTCCACCTGTGTGTTCCTCCTTGACTTTGTTTCTTCCTTTTTCTCTCTCTCGCGTTTTGTTTCGCAGAGCCTCCCACATCAGCTTTGTGTATTTTGCTCGCTTTGAACGCGCTGCTCTGGTGGCCCGACCGGCGCCCGAGGGGAGGGGCGCCCCGCGCAGCGGGAAGTAGAGCAAACGCTCATACAGGCTAAAGGGCTCATACAGGGGCATGCTCTCCAGGAGGGGGAGGCCCTGTGGCGGGGCGAGGCCCCGGTGGGGCCCGCGTAAAAGGTCATGTGTGCTAGTCAGTATCGGCATGCATGAGGGCCTCGCCCGGCCTCGAGGGTTGCGCGTTGCGCCCCTGGGTTGGGCCTCGTCGCCAAACAGCCTTAATTGGTGTTGGCGGCGGCCTCATCAATCGCAACTCTTTGTCCGCGAGTCGTTCCAGGCGGCAAATCTGCCCCCGTCGATGTAGGGCATACGACGCGGCACGGCGGCGACGCGGCACGCCCTGGGTGGCCTACATCGGCGGGGCTGCGAGGCACATCACACGTCACCGTGGCCGCCCCGGCCTGCCCCGGCCGCACTGTGCATGCAAGCAGCGCGCTGCATGATCTGCAATGAGCCTCGCCGGGCCGTCCGTCCGTGCCCCCGGGCGGGGCGCCCCGCCGCCGCGCCAGATTCGACTGGCGGAACGGGAACACCACTCGCAGGCCTCCGTGTGCATTACTTCGCCCGTCCCACTGGCCGCCGAACCTTGTGTATACACTGTCTGTTTATTTGATTTGCGTCGCGAAAGCGTACCAACTTTGTTGATATTAGGGACAAAATTCTTCGCAGCCGGATTTTTTTGTGGCACGTGTTTGGTCGCAGGGGCTGTGGATGGGGTGGAAATAAACTGTCTGTCTGACTGTTTGGCTTGTTGTGTTGCAGGAGTGCGCCCTCTCTGTCGGAGAGGGTCCACTGAGTGGGAAGCACGATCCTCCGGCTCGCCGCCCTCTCCGCCGCCGCCGTCACCGCCGCGTCATCGCCGCCCCCTTCCTCCCCGCCCCCCGCCGCCTCCGCCCCCTCCCCGCCGCCCCCCGCCGCGCCGGCAGCAGCGCGGCCCGGGACTCGGCCGCTGTGGACGTTCCCTCGCACCCCTTCCTCGGCCGCCCGCGTGTCCCGCGTGTCCCCGCGCCCCAGCCTCGCCGCGAACCGCAATGGCCTTTTCTACTCGGATTCAGGTGAGCCATCTTTCCCGCCCTTTTCTTTGTCTGCTGCTTTGCTGTCCGCGCGCCACGCCTCATGACGCGCCCTCGCCTTGCTGCTGCTTTGTGCGACCCTGTAGGCCTTGCTTCGAGGGGCAGCACAAAGCGGCGCTCAAACTCAGTTACTCCTACGACTGGTTCTTCTCTGGAGTTGAGAAACGGTTAGCTCGGCGCAATCGCTCCCGAAATCACTCGAAGCCATTACTTTTTCAACCTAAGTGCGATCAAGGAAGAAAAGTAGTAGTGCCTATGTATGCTTTATTTGTTCACATAAATCAAGAAGAGGTTTGATCGCAAAACCCCTAATTTCCACGTAGCATTAGCTAGTTTCCTCAGTGGTTTTCTGCGTAATTCTGTCATTTTGTGGTCACTCAAGCTGATAGCCCTGTTGCAATATACGTTCGTGCTGTTTTACCGCTTTAGGAGTGAAGTATGATTATTATTTGTTTTGCGAAGCCCTGCCTTTTTCGTTACTGAAAATAAGGTATGTTTTTGTTTTTCGTTTTTTCTGTGCTTTTTCTTTGAGTATTATTTCGCCTGCACTTTCTAACGGAATGCTTCATAATCATTTGAACAGATCCCACTCAATATAATTCCTGACCTGGTTCTTATAAAATCCTTTCATTTTCTTGTTCGGTGGTTCGCGTGGTATAACTCGTGCTCTTTTTGTTTGCCAGGTGTCAGGATGGGAGAGACACGGCCCTCGACTGGGGTGGTGGCTCACCATAAGAAACCTATGAGAAAGTTGGAATACCGGGGATCGGGCCACTCCCATCGTCAGCCGCCGCCGCCACCGCAGGTAAGTCGCCACCTGTCCCTACTGCAATGACTCCCGTTACAAACCAAACTTTGAGTAGACACTCTAATTTTAAAACAGGGTTTAACTGTGTGGCTTCCTCAGGAGGACGAAGACGAGGATCGTGAGGTGGTGCTGGAGCTGCAAGAGTATGACCATCACGAACAGTTGAGGTGGGATGAGAGGGGCGTGCCGGGACCTCCGCGGCCCCCGAGACCCCGAGGTGTAGGTGGTGTGCTGCAGCTGAGGGTACGCAACCGGTACGGACGGCCGAATGTCAGCCTGTCGGACCGGATCGAGCTGCAAGGCGAGGACGAGGCTACTCTACGGGAGCTGCTTGTGAGGTACCGGTACAACAAGCGTTGCCAACCATGGACTGGCAGTACACTGACGGCATCACTGCTGCGGATGTGTCATGGTTCGTGTCCCGACAAAGTGTTTGTTGCGTGCGCTTTTCTTGATCGTAGCATGGAGGCGCCGCCATGGATGTAAGGGGTTGGAAGTGGAGGCCCGCTTGAAGGGCTAGGCTGCGGCCGAGGAGAGCCTCTCTGAGCACCTCGAAGCGCGCATGCGGCTCATTTTGTCGCCATTAGACGTTCAACAGGTTTTTTTCTCATTTTTTTTTATTGCCGGGAGAGGGGAGGGTAGATTACCGACTGTCACGGAATTGCCCTAGGAGACATGCTTAGTGGTGTGCTAGTGCCTCCGAGAGCTAGTTGTGGGCTTCATCCAGCGACGCAAGGTGGACTCTTGTTCAGACTCGCGCTCCCTTGGAACATTGCCACATCCGCAGCACCTACATGCATGGCCGACGTAGACACTGGGCTGGACAGGGAATCATTTGTAGTAGGAAATAACACTGTGTGTGTCTCAAACTATAGAGGGTGTGACTTAGAGCGCGCTTTGCAAGCTGTTTTTAGAAACCGTCGCGTGGTTCGTCTCGATATTTATTTCGGTTCGAAAGTCACCTAGCCTGTTCCCACAGGTCTTTTTATTATTCAAGCCAGCATCTGAACACGGAGAAGCTACTTCCGGAGTAAGGAGTTTCTATTATGCTTCGGTGTAAAAGTGACATGATTTATAACGGCCTGCTTGCCAGTCACCTGTTTCAACGTTTGTGGCATGCTTTCCAACTGCTGCAAATGGTTGTTCAGCTTGCCTCACGATTTCATGGCAATTAGCAAAGTAGACCTAGAGGCTATATTAGAACAAAATGTTTTAAGGTGAACTCTGTCGTAGTAAATTGTTGTCAAAGCAAATTTTTCGAACAAGTCCCCGTTATTTTGGTTGTTTTATAATGTCGGATGTTATCCGCATTCCTCTTTGCGTGGACAGTTTGCTTCGACCACAATGAGCTAGCTATTTTGCATTTCCAGGCAATGACTCCATTGTCCGTTATATTCTCATGAACATTTCTGGCATGCTGTTCTCTTTAGAGCGTGCCGCCTAAACTGACCAATGGGACTGTGGAGGACTTGGCGGCTATTTCGTTCTAGCTGCTGCTTGCATCATCTGCACTAGCCAAGTTAATTTCGTTTATTTGAACCCACATCCCTTTCCCTCCCTGTCCCGGGCATTCAATGTCTTGGTTCTTTCTCGGTGTGGAATCGGATAAATGGGTGAGACATAATACTTGCTAAAAGATAGGTTCATGACATGTCACGGCAGTCTATGCTTTATGTCAGTAAGTTGTTAACGCTTATTGTTCTTAAGAAATGAAACACTCCTATGGTAACGATTTTTTGCGAGAACTCCTGGGGCATGAGTGTGGCCGTGCAAAGGGATAGCGTATCAGAACCTAAGGGCCAAATGACTCAATGATCTGTGCAATTCGCCTTTGTAAGGCACAACCGTCAACAGCCTCCACTTAAGTAGGGGCAACGCCACATTAAAAAATTATTTGCGGTGGACTTTTTACAGCGTGCCAAGCTGGTCTTCCCCAATAATCTTAGCACACTTTCTCTGGGTTGGTTCTGGGTTTCAATTTATTATTTCGTTTGTAACCCCTCCTCTTCCTTTTAAGTTGGTACTAACATAAGGACTAGATTCATCTGTCTAGATGCTCCTGCAACTCTGTTCGCCTTGCATTCATGCGGCCTTCCATCTGTTTCTATTTTGTTTTGTTTCTACTGCTGCTGTGTAGCCATAAGCAAATAAAAATGCCACGTATTTATATGCTTTTACATATTTATTTCTGCGCTAAATAATTAATACGAGATGTGATTATGTTGAACAATGAACAACTTACTAAAATATATGCCAATATGTTCGCTCTTACTTTACTAGAATGCAAACAACATAAGCGCACGTGCTACATGTTAAATATTTTATGCTGGCAATTTTATTTTAAAGCATGCATGTTTCTCAGTTTTGTAAAGAAAAATCAGAGCTTGCAAGTGTGGTCCATCTTCGACCTTTCCGGTTGTTTTTTGGTTAATTCAAGTCTGGTGCTAACGCCTGGTGTGTCCCTTCTGTTGCAGTCTGCAGAAACAGGTGACCGTGATGAGCTCTAATTTAAGTGCCAAGCTGGACGAGCTACAGCGAGGCGATCGGCACCTTGAAACCACTGTAGCACTCCATGAAATCCGCTCGCAGCTCCAAGAACTCACTCGATCCGTAGAGAGCTGTCAAAGTGAAGTAAGTAGCAGCTTCCCATAGAAAATTCTGTCTTTTTTGTGCGAAAAAAATTGACACGTTCTCTGTGCAACGTATTTTTTTTCCAGTGACTGCATTAGGAAATTAATCCCTTTGATGCCATTTGATTACAGGTTTGTGAGGTAAAGCGTGATATGGTAGCCATCCGCTCTGAGCTCGACACAGTCCAGCAAGTAAAAGAGGAAATCGAAGAGTTAAGAGAATATGTCGATCGTTTGGAAGAACACACTCACCGACGCAAACTCCGTCTTCTTCAGCAGGTACTGTGGCTCGACCAACGCTGCAAAACGGTTTGATTATTGGCATGCGTTCCCTTTGGCAGTCTGTGATCGACTTTGTGACCAACTAATACTTAAGATTAACGCTTTTGATGTGTTTGACTAGAGGATGAGTGCTGCAACTCTTATTACTAATTCCATTTGTGTTATGTGGTTTGATAGTTAGCGATTTGCATGATCTATATGGATGTTTTTCCTAGAGTTTTCCGACTGTAGGGGGCCTAGCCTGCTGAAGGCATTATTTCGTGCCGTACATACTTTCTTGATTGCGCCCTGAAGCATGCGCTCCTCCAACTTGATTCCGCTGCGCCAACGGGATTAGTTTTGAGTAGATTTTTTCCAGTGTTGCAATATCGCTTTCTAAAGTAAACGAGAATGCCGACACCGCCCTCTCGGACGTAGCTGGGAGGGCGGGCGCAGAAAGAGGAGGACTTTCATTACTTTCAAACTCGGCGCCAGCAGAAAATAGAAGCAGCAGCATTATTGTTCGATGGTTTTGTTTGATTTTCTTTTTATGACTTTTGTTTTGCTTTTGACAGAATTCTCCTTTGAGAGATGACGCTGAGACTCAGCCCGCCGCTGAGCTCAGCGGGGCAGGCTTGAAGCCAACCGCGCAAAGGCGGCAAGTGAGTCTGTGGGCCCTGTGGGCCTTGTGGGCCCGGTGGGCTGAACAGGTCGCATTATAGCGCTCCCTCATTGCATTTCATTCATCAGAGGCTCTCTCATTAGCTATTCATGGCGAGTGTCACCGCATGTTATGGTAGACTGGACGACACGGTGACACGCAACAGTGCCCGGCCTGACCGTACGCTTACCGTCATTCATAAAGGTTTTGGCCTGTGCCACCTTGCCATGCTCTGGACTGCCGTGGCGTGGACAGGCACCCACTTGCCAAACTTTTATTCTGAAATTCTGAAAAACCCTGGGTTTTACTCCTGTCGTTAAGTTGGGGTAATGGCAGCTAGGCCGTTCAGAGTGGGAAATTGATCGTGGAGCCCTTTTTAGCCGTGTAGCGGAGGCCAAACTTTGCGGGTTATTCAGGCCGTTTGTCACTTTTAATTAAAGACCGTAGCTACGGCCAGGTTGGGGCTGATCCGCACATTGTGTGATTTCATGTTACTGTTCATACTCAAGGACCTTTCGTTGCTACGCATTCACAGCATTCACATTGTTCAAAAACCCTGTAGTTTCATAAGTGATTCAGTGACCAGCCTCTTATATTGGGGTTTCTGTTACACAGGCCCTTCACCTCGTCATGTCAGCAGTTCGTGCCCGGAGAATTTCTCATTTTCTTTTGCTGGTGAAGCTGCTTTTTTGTTTTGCATCTCATCGCCTGTCCGCTTTCATTCCGTTGTAGTGAAAAGGTTGATGTAGATCGTGTTGCTTGCTGATCGGTCGCTTTGCGTACGTACCTGCCTCGATATTGTTTATCGTATCAGTCGAATGATTTTCTTTTTTAGTTTAAGTAGTTTTGTAGCTGTTATCCTAATTTTGTACTTTGTATACTCCGCTTCCTTTCAATAAATATGTTGCCTAGTACTGAGTTTGTACATTTATTTACGTGAACTTACATCATGAACATCATGGCTTTAGTGGTTCAACTCATCGTTAAGACACTGTGCATTCCCCTACACCCTGTGCTGTCTGCTTGCTTTACGTGGCGTGTTGTTTCTGCAGGGACTCACATTCTTCCTATGCATCGCCATCGGGGCCGCCGTGCTGGGCATGCTCCAGTTCGGCTACAACACTGGCGTCATCAATGCCCCTCAACAGGTGAATTGCCCGATCTCCGTATTTTGTTTGTCAGCCAACGTCACCTCGTCGCTAATCTTATATTTCCTTTTAGAACATCGAGAACTTCATGAAGGATGTGTACAAGAGCCGGTACGCTGAAGACCTGACGGAGGAGACGGTCAAGCTGTTGTACTCAGTGGCTGTCGCCATCTTTGCTATCGGTGGCATGTTCGGTGGTTTCAGTGGTGGTCTGATCGCCAACAGATTCGGAAGGTATGTCCAATTAGTCCCTGACGAAAATAAACAGCCCGCTGTATCTGTTCCTAATGGTTCTGGCCCTTCACAGGAAAGGCGGGCTGCTGCTGAACAATGTGATGGGTGTCGGGGGCGCGTGCCTGATGGGCTTCGCCAAGCTGGCCCACTCGTACGAGCTGCTGTTCCTGGGCCGCTTTCTCATCGGCGTCAACTGCGGCCTCAACACCTCCCTCGTGCCCATGTACATCACGGAGATCGCGCCGCTCAACCTGCGCGGCGGCCTGGGCACGCTGAACCAGTTGGCCGTGACGGTGGGGCTGCTGCTGTCGCAGGTGCTGGGCATCGAGCAGATCCTGGGCACGGACGACGGCTGGCCCCTGCTGCTGGGGCTCGCCGTGTTCCCCGCCATCCTGCAGCTCGTGCTGCTGCCCATGTGCCCCGAGTCGCCGCGGTACCTGCTCATGACCAAGCACTGGGAGGAGGAGGCCCGCAAGGGTAAATTCTATTTCAAAATCACATATGAAAATTGTAAAAAAAAAGTTACGATGTGGATTTCTTTTTGGCCATTTTCACAGCTTTGCAGCGGCTGCGGGCGTCCTCGCAGGTCGAGGAGGACATCGAGGAGATGCGGGCGGAGGAACGCGCGCACTCGGCTGAGGCTTTCATCTCCATGACGGAACTCATCTGCTCGCCCACGCTCAGGCACCCGCTCATCATCGGCATCACCATGCAGCTGTCGCAGCAGTTATCCGGGATCAACGCGGTACGCATGACACATTCCTGTAGCGGTTCGCGCGCTGAAAGCAGTGCCTGGGGTTCCAAGGTGGCTCCTGGAGCAGAGAACCCCTCTTCCAGGGTGGGTCTGGAAACCCCTGGTGCTTCTTCTGCCCTGCGGCCTGCTTTCGGTCTGATGGCATTTCATAATACATCGGCGTTGTTTTGAATTCGGTGTTCGCCGAACCTGTTTAATTTTGAACCGTGTCTTTGCTCTGCAGGTGTTTTACTATTCGACTGAACTATTCATGAGCTCCGGGCTGACCGCGGAGACCGCCAAGTTCGCGACCATCGGCATCGGCGTCATCATGCTCTTCATGACGGTGGTGTCCATCCCCATGATGGACCGCACGGGGCGGCGGACGCTGCACCTGTACGGCCTGGGCGGCATGTTCATCTTCTCCATCTTCATCACCATCAGCTTCCTCATCAAAGTACGTACGGCCGGAAAGCCGGCGGGAGCGCCGTGTCGGCGAGGGGCGGGGGTCTCGCAGAACGCCCTCGCCTCGGCGCCGCCACGGCTCGGGAGGGCAGGGGGAGGGGAAGCGTGATTACAGGGAAGGAAAGTTGTGTTGAATTCTGCAAGTTTTGCGCGGACTGTTCGGAAAGGCGCGCACTTTAGGCCGGGTGAGTATCACAGTAGCAGAAGTTTCCTCTCGCATGACGGAGAGAGAACGCAGACCTAGACGTCCCTCGTTATTTTAATTTGCTCTTTGATAGGGGCTCTTGCTGATTCCATAGTGCACTGTACTCGTTTTATTTTTCAGTGAGAGCCGACTGAATTTTTGGTTCCTTTTCTTTTTGGTTCCGCTTCTTTTTGTCCCTCCCAAACAAGCTGAGAGCCTCCTCGGGCCTCACGGACGGACGGCCGGGCAAACGCTTAGGCGTAACTTTTGAGTTTAATTTCCACTGCGCCGCAGCGGCCGCAGCCACAGCCATGGCGGTGGCCTGGCAGCGCGGACGCACCCCAGGGCGCCTGCAGTCCGCGGGGTAGGCAGGCCCGCCGAACACGCTTCCGTGGCTGGGTGCCTACCCTGGGGGCTCCAAGGCGCTCCCTGGGTTGCCCTGCGTCGCGGCGCAGTGGTCCGCATGCCGTAGCACGCTTGCTAGCTGGCCCTTGCCGTCTGTCTGGTGTGCGCCCGGGGAGGGGGACGCGGTACCACGCCCTGATAGGAGTTCTTTGGCTACGTGCAGGAGATGATCGACTGGATGTCGTACCTGTCCGTCGTGTCGACGCTCGGCTTCGTCGTGTTCTTCGCCGTGGGGCCCGGCTCCATCCCCTGGATGATCACCGCGGAGCTCTTCTCGCAGGGGCCGCGCCCCGCCGCCATGTCCATCGCCGTGCTCGTCAACTGGCTCACCAACTTCCTCGTCGGCATCGGCTTCCCGACCATGAAGGTGGAGTATATGGTTTGATAGAATGGCCCAGAAAGGACAAGAAGTCTTTCGTCGTCGGAATGACGTCACAAGACGTCGAAATGATACCCTTTTTGTCATTTCGGCGTCAGTCTGTGTGTCTTATTCTTGTTCATTCTGCAAAACTGCCTCTATCCACTGTCCACCACGTTACTTAAAAGCCAGTGACTAATCTTGTGTTTTGCTTCCCTTTCAGACGCATCTGGAAAATTACACGTTCCTTCCATTCAGCGTGTTCTTGGGCGTTTTCTGGATATTTACTTATAGACAAGTTCCAGAAACCAAGAACAAAACTTTCGAGGAGATTTCAGCCATTTTCAGACATGGCGGAGACAGGTGAGCGGCACCTCTTTTCTTGCGTATAGCAAGTAGACGTAGCAGAGACAACACCGATTTGCAGTTTGCGGATCACCATGCTCTCTAAATAAATTGAAATGACTCGTTCTGAAAGTATGATTTGGTGCAAAGATGATTTGAAAGCCAGCCGAAAGGACGTAAGACGAAATTGTCACAATTACTTCTCTGTATCTGTAGACTTGATGGCATTTGGTTCCGGCCCCCTCCGCCAGGGCGCGCACCGACTCGCGCCCGAGCATGCTCATTTTCTGTTTATTTTTGTACTCGTTTGAAATTGATTTCGTTCAAGTCGCCTTTAAGGCATTTTGTTTTTAATTATTTACTTGACAACTTAGACTAGGTTGTGTTGGGGTGTCAGAAAAATGGACACAGTTGAAAGCTTTGTTGACGGAGGGGAGCCCGTGTACGCTGTTTGTTGAGAGAATTTGAACACATGTATTTGCTTGTATGATGCCCTTCACCATTCGAGGCAGAGATCTCGCTCAGTGCTTCTGACGTCACTGACCGACTCTTTCTTCGCTTCTCTGGGTGCTTTGGTGGTGAAGGCGCAGGACAATGCGTTGGAAAAAACGACATATTCAGCCAATTAACTGACACAATTGCTTTCTGCTTTATTTTCAATCCGCGTTTTCCTCTTCTGCGGACTCTCAGGAGGGGAATGCGGAACAGTAGTTTGTACGGGTGAGTAGTCGGCCGAGAAGACAGGCCCGATTTTTGCCCTAGGCATGTCCCTTGTGTGTAATTTACCTGTTGCTAAACGTCGCCCTGAATTAGCTGTTAATTTCCATAATCATGCAACAAAATTGTGTTTTGCAAAGACTTATGACGCGTTGCTAATAATTCCCCACTTGAATCATACGGATGATTTTTAGAACAATTACCTTCAAAGGGGGGCTTAATTTCCATTCATAGTGCATGCATCTTTGTCGCCTCTCAAACTGGTTCCTGCCTCGCTAATTGTTTTTTATTGCAAGTGCGCTTTTGAACTGTCTTCATGTATGTTGCTTGCGGTATATTTGTGGGTCTTTTCGTCTCATGTCTCTACTTCCATGGGCGTTCGCCCCTTTCCTTGTGCATGGTTTTTGTTTCCAGTGAATTTGTGACAATTTTCTATCCCTCGTTTCAATGTTTTCTTGAACTCCGTCTTGCACTGTTTGCAGAGAGCACGATCCTTGGTGGTTATGGTGGATAATCCTTTCTGATTGAACGTCATAGTCCGTTTGCACCTCATAAATTCTGCTATTTAACGAATTGGAAAAACTTGAAGGACATAGTGTTTACAAAATGTGTTTTGTTTTTGTTTGTTTTGTTTATTTTTTTCTAAACGTCGCCTCTATTAGCCTTCGTGACACTAAAACTTTAGAACCTAGCTTAACGCGCACTCTGTCACTTTCTAAAAAAACCTGTTGATGTTGCCGTGCAGGTCAACTTTGGATGAAACCCGGCAAAGTAACGAAACTATTCTTACTGACATCGGGACCCCATCGCGCCTCCCACCTCCCCAGTAAACGTCCACGAAGTATCTTCCTTGTCGCCCAACGTCGGCTCCACCGCCCTGCTGACCATTATTCGGTCCAATGCTGATAACGTATAATAAGGAACAATTATCTGTTCCAGTCTTGTGTTTTGTAACACCTACTTGCTTACGTCCATTTATCTTTGGCGTCGTTTAGACTTTATTTCTTTATTGTTTGTTTTTATTTGTTTCCTTTTTGTATATTGTTTTCAAATTATATTTTATTATTTTGTTAAATGTTACTTTATTTGAATGATGTGCCATGTTGTTGACAAACCAGAGCAGGGGAGAACCAAGTTTTGATTAGTTCCATTTCTAACAGAAACGTTTCATACGTATAAATCGCGAATGGCTTAACCTCTATGGTCCATGATGGCGATCAAACTCCCCTGCTCAGGTTTTATTTTTAGGTTAAACGTGATCATTAGACACATGAGCAAGTTTGGGTGCCTTGTTTCCAGGAGCATGCTAAACTGTGTGAATGCGTTAGAACAACGGTTACCTGCCAGCGAGCGGGCGGCCCTCATGGTGGCGGAAGAAAACCCCTACCAGACTCATGTAAGCACCCGTCTTTGGGAAATGCCAAGCATTGCAAAGCCACGCAGGGTTTACGCCCTCGGCTCACCGCGGGCCTCAGTGGGAACAGACATCCACCTCACTGGAAACGGCGCAGCACGCCTTGCGAGGCAAACTCATTTAAGCACAAGTGGCGCGCTCGTTTTGGCGCCCGAATTATTAGGTCCACTCTTGCATTTTGGCTGTCTTCAAGGCGGTGCGATGTCTGTACTCACTGACTCGTGACGTGCAGAGCTGACCCTGCACGGGAAACACACTGATTTCATTCTCATTCTGAGAGCAGCGTAAAAGGCACAAACACAACGCACACAACCACAATGCCCCTGTACTGAACCCAAAACATGTACAGTATATGAGTCATGGGATACGGTTTCTTCTGGTCCGTTGTATTTATGTTTTTGCTTCCCTAAAAGCTAGTGAAGTGCGTCAGGATAAAAAAATAACCTTCTTTGCAGTGGCTGGCCGCCCTTGCTATCCCCATTAGCAATTTTCTCGTCTTCCTGGGCCGCTCGTTACGTTTATTAATTTAACGCAAAAGTTGCATTTATTTTGTTTAGCGAGTCCCTCTACGGATAGATTTGGCAATGTCCATAGTTGGTTGGCGTCAGCAAATAGAAAAGTTCTAGGGATGGGATGTTTTTAATGTCACATATGATAAAAATGCTTTATTTTCGTTACTGATTGATCTCTAAAATAGTTTTTGCACATCTCCACTTTTAGTCTGGACATAAACATCCATAAAACAGCTATTTGGCACAATTTCTTTCAAACACATTTTCACGCTCAATGGAATGGAATGAATCGCATGCGTATGTGTTTGTCAATACAATTATCTTTCTTCATTATTTGTTACTGCAAGTAATATTGTGTCTTGTCTAGGCAGTTATTTCCCTTTCATTTTAGGCTATAAAATGAGTTTTACTTTAGATTTAAAGTGTACTTTAGAGACATAATATAGTCTCGTAGTGCGGCACTGTATTTGGTTTTGTATGAGGTCCAGAGAAGTGTTAGGCGTGATACCTCAAACTTGGTCGAATGCTGCAGACAATATTTGTTTGTGCTTCAGACACACTAAGTTAAAGAAAAGACTGAATGTACTTATAAGAATACTCATAATGTAAAGAAGGAAAGAATGTTACGTTTTCTCGCCCGCTTCGCTGTAGACAAATATATTGTTTATCCGTCTTTTGTTTTGTTTTCTTTTTCACCTTCATCTGCACGATTATTTCGTAGTGTAGTTGACTTTACATCACACTTATGTTTTCACTGTCATTAATTTATGTTGTTGTTTTAAGTTGTACAAGCTGTTACTGTGGAATAATATTTTGCATGGGGAAATGAAAAGTTAATTAGCTTTTCTTTCTATTTTTGTGTATGAGATACTGTTTTTATTAGCTATTTTGTTGACAATGTTTTGTACCATTTATTTGTTTTTGGAATATTTTCCCGCTGCTCGTAGAGGCAATGATCAAATCGTCTTACTATTTTACAGGAAAGATAAATAACGTTTTCTTTTATTCTCCTATGGTTTCGTTTTTGTTTTGTTTTCTGCCAATCTTTTTTTTTAACGCTCTCGAAGAGATTGACAGGTGTTATGCGAGTTGAGGAATTCTAACTCGTGCTTGATTCCCTGCAGGGCACATGATGCAATAGACAGGCGTCGGCTCGAATGCAGCCGGGAATGCGTGCGACCAGCGTTTAAGGTACATTGTACAATAGTACATGAGACACAAGTCACACTGTAGGGCACCACCCGACCACCAAAAACCACCGCACGACCTTTCTTACGCAGTGTGGTGTGTGGTTTGCGTGCGAAATAACACCGCTTAGACAAAACGCTTCGACAGAGTCGCCCCCTCCCTGCCCCATGCTTCCATCGTCTGTGTACATACACCTGCAGATGATACGCACCAAAGTTAGCGTTAAAAATGAAGTCTCGGCAACGTTTCCACGGCGTGGATCTGGACACTCGTCGTTTCGTCACCGTTAGCGAACGAAAGAACTTCGCAAAGCGGTTGACGCTGGGTTCGCATCCATTCGTTCTTAGACGGTGATATGGACGCTCATCTTGACGGTCGGCCTGGCGGACCCCGGCGCCGCGAGGGTAGGCCACCCAACGGGCCGAGCAGCGGTGCGGAATGCCGATGCCGCTGTGGTAGGGGCCCTTAGCACGGACTAGCCGGCTGTAAATTTATTCGCCTCTCCTTGTGTTTTCTGTCCCGACTTCCTTCCTTTTCTGTGCTTTTTATTTTCATTACGAAAACGTCGTCATGAAGGACACTTCCACTTTTGAACATACACGGCACCTGAATTGGTGACGCGTTTCCGGTAGAAGCCCTCTCGCAGATCACTTCCGGTCACGCTGCCCCGCCAGGAAACTGGCCACTGAACCCCCTTCATTGTCAACATTTCACGGCTTTTACTACACTACCCCTGACACTCCACACACATCATTGTCATGAGATTCCTTCCGCAGCACATCACTATTCCCCTGTGTGACTTCCATGCTTGAGTGAGTACTGCGTCGCCGTCCCAGAACTACGTAACACTGGCGAAGCGCGCTAGACCCGAGGACGCGAACGGTTTTCATTTTCAATCATTGCCATCTTTGAGAACTGTTTTTTTACTGTTTTTTCCTTTTCGGACGGGCATTGTTTCCTGTAGGTGTGTTACGTAGTTTAGGGATGGTTTTTGTGAAATCAATACGAGACAAAAATAACTGCCATCCGTTGTTTTCTTGCATGTAGTGAGTAGCATTTTCTTTGAATTGGTCAAGTGACGTTGTTCTGTGTACTTTGCCGTACTCATATTTATGGTTCCGTATGTACATTTTGTCGATAACCCCAATTAATGCTGTAGCTTACCAGTTCCACCTTTTGACTCACTCAAAGCAGTCGGAGTGAGGGTTCACTGTACCAGAGTAATTTTTTTTCTCGTTAACTTTTGGCTTTAAACTGAGCTATTCGCCAACAGACAAGCGAAGAGACAAAATTTTGGGTCTTGTAGCGCGCTTTTAGTGCTTTGTACAGTGAGTCCCTACTGGCCGCCGCTTGGCGCATCTCTTGCAGCACTGTTTAATCTTGCAGCGGGCCCTGGCAAGGGCCCTGGTCTGGGCTTCGGCCCCGGCCCCGGGCCCTGAGCAGGTCGCAAGGCGTGGCCGCCCTCCCCTCAGCCACAGCGGCAGAGCCGGCAGAGCGGTGTTTGACCCTGGCCCCATGCTAACCATGGCCGTTTGGAGCAGCCTTGCCGGCGCCTCCGAGTCCCTCCCCGAGTCACCCATGGGGCCGCGGCGCGTGTCCACGGCCTCGGACTGCGCCGCCGAGGTCCCCGCCACCTACGGGACTACCACCACTACCGTCACCGAGTCCGATGAGGCGGACTGCGTCGGAGCCATGGGAGCGATGGGCGTATCCGAGCTGACTCCGTCAACACCGCCGCCCTCACCGTCCCAGTCCCCGAGCGCCTCGCCGATGACGTCCGCACCGCCGTCCCCGGCGCCCTCCGGGGAGCCCATGTCGCCGCCGTACATCCCCGGCGGGTGCGCGTGGCGCCCGCCGTCCAGCTGTGCGGGCGACCGCTGCGTGTCGCCGCCCCGCTTCGCCGTCTAGCGGCCGTCTAGCGGCGCTCTTTGAATGGGTCCGCGCTCCGCCCGGCCGCGCCGCGTCTGTCTCGGCCGAGCCTCGTGCCCAGCGCCCTGGGCATGCCGAGTGTGGTGCAACTGTCTTGTTTGATACGCTTTATATTTGTGAGCGGCTCCCCTGGACTTGAGGGGACGCTTTGCGATGCGGCGGGAACTTGCTACTTCTCAGGAACAATTGGTCGCCGCCGCTCAAATTTTGTGATACTTCCTGGCCGGAGGAGGAGGCCCTTTTCTCCGGGACCCATAAGCCAGTAGCAACCCAGGCTGCCATACAACTTTACTATTATAATGTTCTAAGTTTGGTTGAAGCTGAATGTTGACCTCATGGACTCCTAGCCTTATGCGGTTAACAGTTTGACGGATGCTAAAAAAGTGCCAAAAGATACCTAGAGCTTCGTGGAGGAAGACAAGGTGCAACATACTGTCGGCTTCGCGCTGACACACCTCCAATCAAAATATTGTTATAGTGTTAAGAAGATGGACCACAGGTGCACGTTGCTTTTCGAGCACCACGTCTATCATCTGTTTGCATCAGTATGTATGATATACATTTTACATAGGGTATACATATTTATCTGTTAAAGAAATGGTGGTTGTGATGAATATTCTCTACCAGAGTTTGTCTCTATTGCTAAGTGTGTTATTATAAATCATTATATACTATTAATAATTTTTTTTAAACGTTACATTTACATTTTGTGATATTATTCGATGCCGTTGAACAACGTCAACAATTCCTCTGTTCTTTTTTATTGCATGACAGCAAACTCTTGTACTTCATGAAAAGTTTATTGTAGACTGACTTGAATGGTAAAGTAACGGAAGCGTATCACTAAAGTGATTCTCTCGGCAAAAAAAATCTCTACCCCAGTAACTTCCTTCAGATTCATATTATGTCAACTATAAACAATTTATTCATCAGTTTAAAATTTAAGATAACATATTCTAAAGATTTGGAAGGAAACAAGCCCCATTTAAAACTATGTGTACAATATACATGTAAACTAGCTGTGACAAAAAGGTGTAGTGCCTGACTCACGTAGCATCACATTTATCTGTGAATTGCTCACCTATCCTGTTTCCTGTACGGGGAGCAAGATTTGCACATAGCTTAACTTTGCTCTTGTGCTGACCCTCCTGTTTGGTCAGCAGGTTCTGTGCAGCTGCTCTGTCCTTTCCTGACCTAAGTGTAACTGATTTGTTTGTTTCCTGATTTCCTGCTCCGACATGTTTTCATGCCAATTCTGTGAAGCCAACTTCTCAATTTCATTTGGTAACTTGCCGTTTAAAATTGCATTCCACTTCGTAAATTACGAGCATTATTTTACGCACCTTCAATGCTACAATTATTCTTTCGGAATGAACAGAATTTTCACAATACCAATTAAAATGTAGGTTTATTGTTTGACTCGTGGCACAAATAGCTATGTAGTTTCAATAATACTCGTTGTGTAAATACATCGCAATTTATTCATATTACCAACACTGCCAGGACGTATTCACACGGGTCTCAAAAGAAAGGGAGATGTGATTCGCGGGATTATTTCACCAGCACTTGTTAAAGGCTCTCTTCCTTTGGCGACGAGCTGATCTGTTGTTATGTCCTTAATAATTTAAGTGGATGTAGACGAAGTCCAGGTGTCAAAACCAAAGCGTTACAAGCGTACATATTCCATATTACTTGTCATACCAAAAAATGGAGATCTGTCTTCACGGATTGGCCATGCGTTGCTCGACTGTGTGCAACTAGATAACGAAACTTGTAGGTCCCAATCCCACAAAGAATTTTTCACTGATTTGAAAAAGTCTTTGGAAACTGACATCAAACATATTTTAGTTAAATGCTTGCCTAAATTTCTATAATGTAATTTGAAGCTCTGTAAGTGACAAGGAATATACACTTCGATTATTAGAGGCGATCCTCCTTGTACTTGCCACAAAAATTAACAGGTGCCTTACTACTTGTTTAATTTTAAAGCTTGCGTGCTATTTTGGAGCCGTCAAATTATATTTTCCCGCCATTTCGTTGACTGATGAGAATATTCGCTGAAGGACGACTGACGTACGGTAAAAGCATGCACTTTGACTGCTGTTTTTGAAGTGTATATTGTGAATTCAAAACACTTTTTGCTCCTTCGTATAGAAAGGAAATTTAAACAGCTCAAATTGATCAGTGTCTCGCGTGGAGTGGAATTAAGTGCTGTCATTAACGAAAAATTCATCGAAAGTGTGAAAGGCTCAAGTAATGCTTTAGTGATAAACTATTATAAATATATAAGCAGTTGGAGTGATGACGAATGGTTAGTGAAAAGAAACGCCAGGATTGCAGAGAAGGGGTGCCTCCGGAACAAGACCAATACTACAATTTTTCATAGTTTGGAACTGGTTTTCATAGTGAAACTGACTATTTCTACCGTCCCGCGACCCTTTCATGGTTGTAACATTCACTCAGCCTTGCCGTTTTGTTTTTCCTTGAAAACGTGTTGCACAAGTCACATTTCAACAGCCTCCAGTATGTTGCAGTTTGCTAATTTACAGATATTTATTTCATGTACACGTTATCAATGAACCAGAAAATATTTTATCTGACACAATATTCTAAATATATTGTTAATTAACTTGAAACCGTGTATGGAAGTCATCGAGAGATGTAAGAAACTACTGTGTTCTTAAACTTTACTGTATGCAGAAGTATCGTCTGTTTTCGACGTGCTGTAAGAAACTTATGTTATACTTACTGTAAATATTGTTAAATAATTGAAAATTGTATTTCTGACAATGTTCAATATGTTGTATTTGTCACGGTTTTTCTAAGCAGGAAAATAAGCATCTGTGTAAGTAAATAGCTGTTAATTCATTACCTAGTGATAGTTGAAGAGAACATGTAGATATCTTGAAAAGTACAGGCATCGTTCGAAAGCCAGCCCTATTTTGTTGTTTTGTTACTCTATCGTTTAATTTGTCTATCATGTTATTTAACACTAACGGCGTACGCTGCTGTCCCCAAGCTGGAGTTAGTCAACCGTTGTTTGCGGAAAGTCCACCTGAAAACAAAAATCATTGGGTTATTATTCATTTATGAAAGACATTCGGGAAGAGAGAGACCCATCGAGCAATTGAATGAGCGATTAACGTGCATATGATTACTGACTGACGTATTTTCAGCTACAATCCATGGCTGTCGCTCACTGCAACCTAGTAAACTGTGTAGCGGGTTGTACGGCGGCAGCTATCGCTTGTGCTGCAGTGGGTTGTGTGTCAATTTGGTTATGGTGAGGCGTATAAGAGCGCCATCGAGTTTACCAATGCAATAAATTCTATCTCTATACGAGTGTCGCCTTTGGTTGATTATCCCTTCCCACACTCACACGCGCCCGGCAAAAATGGCTTTACGTAACGCGGTATCATCGGCCAGGGTGCAGTGCCGAACGCGCCGCCACGTGCACGCCCGGCACGTGCGCTTGAGACGCTCTTGTGACTTGAGCGCTTGAGCGTCACCGCCAGCCGCGCGTGCCCACTGGCGTCACGCTCTTGGGGTGGATGAGGGCGGACGGCGCCGCGACGGCCACGATGGCCCAGGTCACGGCACTGCCTTTTTGGCGTGACGTCACGCGCATACATGTTTTACACGACGCTTTATGTAACGGCCGGCTCGGCTCCCTGGCCGCGTCGGCCAGGCTCGGCCAGGCTCGGCCCTGTCCGCGGCTCGGCTCGGCAGATACTACGAGGCAGACGTCGTCGTGCCGTACATTTACGTAATGGCCGAATACCCGGGCCGCGTCGCACACAAGTCCCGCGTCGTCGAACATTTTCATGGACCGGGCGAAGTTTGGGCCGCAGTCTCATCATCCGCCCGGCCGGACGAGGCGAGGCAGTTCCGCCGGTCCCTGGAAGGCGCTGCCGAGGCGCTGCTCCACAGCATGTAAGACACCGCAGCCACCTGCACCGCACCATGCGTGGCTTCTCTTTACTTTGGCTCGCTGAAAATGCACATCGTCAACTCAGGCGAATACAGAGAGGACTGTGAGAGCGCAGGAAAGAGAGTGTGGACGCCACGTCGATGCTGGATTCGCATTCACATTCGCCGCCGATTCAAATTCTCGTAGCTCAGTAGCGCCGAAGCACTATTCGACTGGACGAAAATCAACCGTAAAATGGGTAATGCTTGGGACCAGCTAGGCTGGGACCATCAAGGGTTTACCCTTGCTGTTGGTGTTTCTGGGGCCGTGACGACGCATTTCGTTCCCGAGTAGTCTCCTCTCGTAATGGCGGCGGTCCGCGGCGGTCCCTGCAGACTGATCGTATTCGCCGCTCTGTCTCTCTCGCACTCACGGGGCGTCCTGTACAGGTGCGAGAGAGACAGAGCGACGAAGCGGACTCCGGGAATCAGCCTGCTGGGCATTTGACCCGCCAGGTGGCGGCCACGTAACGACACCCTGCGACGTCCTGCGCAAATTTGGTTGGAGTGCAGGGCCTTGATAAGGAGATGAGAGCCGACTTATGTAAGGTCGGCCAAGGGAGTGGCCATTCATAGGTACTTTTGGTGACGCGGAAATGTATCACCATGAAGAAATAAACGCAGTAGAGTCGACTTTGCCTTCCACGTGACCTAACTCTCCGTCGGAGCGAACGTTCGCCAGGGATTGATAGCAAGTTGCTGTATATTTGTTTTTCATTTATAAAACAAGGAATGCGTATATTTTGTTATCTTTCTTACAAAAATTTGTTGGAGGTCCGTGTTAAACCGGGCCGATTTTTCTCTCCCCCTTCTGGACCCACTGCCTGCACCCTAAAAATTGAATCGTGAATTATGCAAGAGCCTCTGCCTGAATGGAGTGTACACGAGATTACACGTGTGCTTCGCGCCGAGTGCATTACACTTGACCTGCGCACAGCAGATGGCGCTCCTAGCGCGCGCTTCAGTACTCGCCACAGTTTCAGAACACTGGCTAGATCGAATTGTATGATCCGTCCAAGCGCGGATCTCGAGGGGTAGCAAGAGGTTGGCCCCCGCGACCCCAAGATGGCCGCCTGAAAAGAGGGCAAAAAGCAACGCTTTGAACTTGTAAGTAGGCAAAAAGTCCTACTACCCTTTCCCTTTTCGGCCCAATCTGGATGCGTCAAGATGCACTTCACATATTTGCGGGCATTTCCTCCATTAAGCTGGCCCGTCTTGAATTGTCACTGGCCAGCTGTGTGGATGACTGTCCGAAGCTTGTCGCAACCGCAAGTAACACGGTTTAAGGGTGCAGCCGAACCTGCGAGATAGCACGGCCCAAGGTCTCTGCTCGAAAGAGGGCCCAGCACCTGGTATTTGCCCGAACCGTTGGCGGCAGATAGCGTTTGACGTCGAGGGATGGTCTACTGCCGCGACTTTCGCTATCGGCCGGGGGATAGGACGGTTCCCGAGGGACCCGCCCAGGCCGCAGCCGAACTCCGCGGACAGCAAGCAGTCCACCAGCGCGGCGCACTCACTCGGCGAGCGAAGATTCCACGCCTCCCTCCGCGAATAGCCGCGGCTTTTATAACGGGCCGGTTAGGTCACGTGAGGCCGAGGCCGGCCAAGGCGCTGAAGGGCGGCGTTACGGCCGAGGCACCCGCGCTTGGGGGTCGGCGTCGTGGCCGCGGCCAAAACGGCCCGCCAATTATTCCTATTATGCGTGTCATTCTTCTATTACGGCGAGCGGCGCGGCGTATTTGCGTCCCCCGTGACGCAACTGGCCCACCAGAGGGATGCGTGGCGCTGGGATGTAACACTATGTAACCGCGGAAACGCCCCTTTATGTTCGCTATTTTTGTGCGGCCGCACTGATTGCGTCCCTCCGGGGCCCACTTACCCGGCGGCGTCCCCGGGGGGTCTCGCGGGGCTGGCCGCCCTGCCCGCCCGCGCGCCCCGGTCGACGAGGCACTCGTTGACGTCACCGCGCGTCGGCGGGGATGAAAGACTCCATCCTTGACCGCCGCCGGCTCAGTCCGCCGCCATGGCCAGCTCGCAGCTCCCGTCGGCTGCAGCAAGGCGGTGGAGGAGAGGGGGGGCAACGACGAAAGACCGAACTAATTGAAGGCAACCGCGTGGCGTCGGTGGGATTCGAACCCCCGACCCGCCGCTCCGCGACAGGCCGGCTGTGAGGTCCGCGGCGGCCCGGCCGAGGGCCCGGCTGACCTGGCCGTTTCGTCACGCCGCGTCCCGTCAGCCGAACGACTCAGAAGAGTCGTTTCATCGCTCTGTCGCACTGGTTGGGCTCTTCGTAAGGGTGCGAGAGAGACAGCGAAGCACTCGGCAGGCCGTCACACGGCGGCGGCTCGTCACGCTGACGCAACCCAGTGACGCGCCGGTCACAATCGGATTGGACGTGACGATCCCGTCCATGAGCCATCCTAATTGTGCTCGCGTGTTGTTGCGTCGGCCGAATCAAAACTTGCGTTGCGCAACCGCGAGCCCTGTCTCCAATTCCGCAAGTGATCTTAAGGTGGGGGCCCCCGCGGACGCGACGGCCAGGAAGGCGCGGACCGCCCGGACGACCCGAGACGATAGGCAGCCGACGTCAAGATCGACACCCCTTTTACCAAACTTCGCTTCCCCTCCTGACGAAAATGTCGCAGGCAGGGCCCTAGCTGCAAGGGACGACCAACCCGCCAGCACAGCGGCCCCACTGGGGAGCCACTGGGCGGTGCCGCGGTGCCGGGCGGTGCAGCCCCGACAGGAGTGTAAGTTATCTGTCGCGTGCTGCGAGTGTGGCCATCTCAGGTCATCGCACGCCAGTCAACACTGACCACTCCCCTCCGCGACTCGAACGCAACGCGCAACGCCTACTGCCGCCGCTATCGCAACTTACCTAGTTATGTAAATGAATTTTGAGGTCGAAACGCAACGCTCGCCTTCATGCAAGTCGATCGGGCAGCCTTCCCTGAATGCATTTCTACCTCTCTCTCTCTCTCTCTCTCTCTCTCTCTCTCTCTCTCTCTCTCTCTCTCTCTCTCTCTCTCTCTGCGGTTTCCGTCACCGCGGATGATTGCCGCGGCGTCGCTGAAAAAGGGGCGCACAAAAAAAACAACGGTGGAACCGCCTCGATGTTCGGCGCGGTCGATAACGTGATCATGTCACCTGTGCCGCGCTGCCGCCACTGCCGCCGCCATAGCGTTTATCTCTTACATAACATTGGGCTGCGCGCCGCCTTCGAGCCTTCGACCCGCCGCCGCCAAAAGCGAGTCGAGTGCAAAGTCTCATCTGTAGAACGCTCTGGAGGACGACTTGCCCGTGCTTGTCTGTCGCTCAGGACCGGTATTGTCGCCTTGAGGTCAACCGAGGTCAATGGATCTCGAAATAGTCCCCAATTGAAAGCGACTCCCCTCGAATCATGTTGACGCTTTTGCCGTCTCTCTGCCAGACTGGATTGTGGGATTGAATATGGCGGACTCCGAAATAAAGAGGAGGCGCAAACAGATTTATTTCGGCGTTGTTTTCCTCTCCTCGTCCTCGACCGCTGACGCTGACGGGCGGGCTGCAGCGAGGCCGATGCGGCACGAACCTCGTCCTCGTCGTGCTCGTCGTACGCAACCGATTGGCCTGGCTCGGCCTGGCTTGGCCCCGTTCGCGCGCTGCACTGGTGTGGGCGGCGCGTCTGGGCCGGCAGTGGCGGCGGCACGGCAGTGGCCTGGCTGGCCCGGCCACGCCGGCAGGTGAAGGAGCACCCGGAGGGAGACAGGGCGGCGCAGCGGCGCAGCGGCGCAGGGAGGGGGGAGGGGGTATGTGCCAACCAACAAGCAGCACGCCGGCGCTGTGCCGCGGCCCGTGCGTTATGTAAACCATTTTGTAACTTGAGTTTTGTGTAAGCGATTACACGAGTTCCCCTCTAAAGGCACCTCGAGAGGCCGCGCGTCGCGTCGTCGCGTCGAACAGCGGGTCGCGGCGACGCCCGTCCGCCCGCCACCACCACCTGACCCGGCCCCGGCCCGTCCGCCGGAAACAATCGACACGATGCGATTCTTTGTCTTCGCCAGGCTTCGCGCTTCGCTTCGCGCTCCGCGGCCGGCCGGGTTCTTTCCACTGTTTGGCGGTTTCGGCCGGCGGCCGCCGCGGACGCGGAGCGGAGCCACCGCAAACACCGCCTACCGAGTACTTGGAGCCTCTGCGGTCCCATTCGGAACCAGTGCTGCGTCGCTCCGTCTCTCTCGCTGTCATGGGGCGCGCCGCGTCGCCGCGGCGGTGCGAGGGAGACAGAAGCTCCGCGTCGACCTGCTGCTCTCTGCGGCTTCGGGGCCGTACATCACCTGGCCGCCGTCGCCCAGCGAAGCTTCGTCGCGCTGCTCGCTGCCTGATTGGCGGTACGGCCCACTCGATTCCGGCTAGAGGCCTGTTCTAGCCCTCTAAACGAAAAGGTTCGTCGCTCTGTCTCTGTCGCACCCTTAGGTAAGCCCCATGAGTGCGACAAAGACGGCACGACTCTTCGGAAGCAGGCCGCTGGAGGCCGCGTTGCCGCGTTATGTGTGCTCCAGGCGGTCTATTACGGTCGCCGGCCAATTCACCGAGAGGCCGAGAGGGCCTATAAACGAGGTCGCCGCGCTGCGGCTGCGCCAGCCGTGCCGTGCCGTGCCGTGGCGGCTCATCCCTTCCTCCCACGCCGCTGTTACGTAACGGGCGAGAATGACCTCTCGAAATGAACGGAGACGGTGAAGCCGTTGTCGTTGGCGATAGCGATGCAGTGCCCCGCGTCGTCGTCGCCGACCCCCACCGCCGGCGGCCTCCCACGCCCCGCCCGCCCCGCCACGCCACGCAACGGTCGCGCTGCCTGCGCTGCCTGCGCTGCCTTCCTGTTCCCCTTAGAATTGGGCCTGTTGCGTTTAGTGGGCCAGGGCCAGGCCGGCGGGGCGCGGCGGGGAGCGGCGGGGCGGAGCTGGCCGCCGACGGCCTGCCCTGCCGTTTTGCGTCCGCCGTCCGACCGCCCGGCCTGCATCGAGTGCGCCACGACCGCGCTGCCGCCAGGGCCCCGCCAGGGCCCCGCCAGGGCTGACCTAGCACAACCGCGAGGGCATCTCCCAGTTTAGCGACGCGCTGGTCGCCAACAATGGCCCCGTCTGCGTGGACGGCGTGGACGGCGTGGACGGGATGGATCGGGAACGGGAGGAAAGGGCGGCCCGGCCATCGGCCCGTCCTCCGAGCAGAGCCGTTCTCGTCGCTCTGTCTCTGTCGCACCTTCAGGGGACGCCCCATGAGTGCGAAAGAGACAGAGCGACGAAAACGACTCTCGGAATGAGTCTGGCGGCGGGGCCGCGGTGCCACGGTGCCCTTGGAGGGCCGCAGAACGCGTTATGCAACTGGAAGGGCTGGCCGTGCCGCCGCGCTGTGCAGGCCGGCAGGGCACAGGGCGGCGTGCGGCAGCAGGCACTGCCAGGCAGGGCGTTGGCTCCGGGCGTTACAGGCACAAAAGGGCCTCGCAGCGGTTACGGCCTGGGCCTGGCGCGCGGACCCGCCGGCCCGGCTGCAGACTCATTCCGAGAGTCGTGTTCGTCGCTCTGTCTCTCTCGCACTCGTGGGCCGCATCCCATGGGTGCGAGAGAGACAGCAACGAAAACGTCTCAGCCTGCTGGGCCCAGCCGCTCGGCCGCTCTGTCCGTCAAGTGTGCGCCGAGCCGCCGCGCCGGGGCGGGCCGGCCGGGGCGGCCAGGGCCGCGAGGTGCGATCATTGAATCCTCATCCATTTTTCATGAGAACAAGCGCGGCCTTCCCACACTGCCGCGCAAGGGCCGCGGATTGAAGCAAACTACGCGCAAAGCGGAGGAGAAGGAACGAACCCGAGCTGCCCGCCGTCCCGGACGAAACACCGCACCGATCAGGGAGGTGGGGATGACGCAAATCGAAAGGAAACCGTTTTGCTCCTTGCTGCTCATCCCCCCGGCGGCCGATCGCCATCGCTTCGGAGCCAACTGTGGGGCGGAAGTCCGATCGAGGCAGTCGGAATCCCGGACGCCTTTAGCTCCACAGTCGCTTAATTGGACTCGAACCGATCGTGTGACCTCACCAAAGGATTCCTCGTTCGAAGTGCAATTCATTGGTGGGGTCACACGCTCGGTTCGAGTCCCATTTAGCGGCTTACGAGCTCAAAACGCGTCTAGAGTTTTGGCCGCCTGCGCCAGTCTTGGCCACTGTGTGACGGGCGCGGCCTCCATCGCCACCAAGACGGCCGTCGACATGCTGACATGCTGACACGGGCGCCCCGCCGTAAAGCCGGCCTTGTTTGCAGTGGCGGGGCACGGCGGCACGGCGGCCACCCTCGTTGTGCAACGCCGTCCTGCAGCGCCGCGACGCTCCCGAAACAGAACAAATATTATTCATTCCCATCAGACCCTAGATCTACTTGACGTCGCTCGACGTAGTTCACGTGCACCGCGCACCGCCTCGCGCACCGCGCGCACCGAGTCACGCCCCGCGTAGGCCCGCAGGACGGACAAACATGTCGTTGTGTTCTCGGCGCCTTCACAGAGACCGTCCTGGCCTTTTTGTCGACCTCCATAAACCCGTGCATGTACGGCAGAGCGTGGAGCGTCGTGCCTCCCGTAAGCGCTTGCGTTGCGAACGCCGCGCCCTCTCCCCGAGGTGCCGACTCACGTAAAGTTTTGTCGCATTTACGAAATATCACGTGAACCGACATGACGTAATGGCGGCAAAATAACTGGATTAGGGCGTCTCTGTTTACCCCTAATCACGTCACCATCCCCTCGTTATGTAAGCCCTTTGACATCCTCGCGAGAGGCTCGGCCGGTCGGCAGGGTGGCCCACTGTGTGGCGCTGCAGAGGCCGCCGTCGTGGCGCCTCGCCACAGTGGGCCAGAAGACCGGTGGAGGCGCTCAAAATCCCGGACGCGTTTTGAGCTCCAGAGTCGCTAAATGGGATTCGAACCGAACGTGTGACCCCACCAATGGATTGCTCTCTGAACGAGGAATCCATCGGTGGGGTCACACGCTTGGTTCGAGTCCCGTTTAGCGACTTGCAGCTCACTGCACCTGCGCGACGACGCCTCCTCGCCCCCCGCGGTCCAGCGGTGCCGCGACCGGGACCCCTCCCCTCTCGCGCGGCGCGGCAGCTCCGCTCCGGCAAGACGCACCTCGAGATAAGGCGGTGCGAGGCAAGCCAGGCAAGCCAGGCCGGCGGGATGGAATTATTTGTTCTGATTAGGGTTTAAAGTCGAAGCCGCGAGACGCGCCGCCTTGTCAGGGGGTTACGCAAACGGGGCTCCGCCGCGCCCCGCAGCGCGTGGACTAGCCGGCCATTATCAGGCCGCACCTGTCTCCCTGCGCAGGGCAGGGCCGGGCCGGGCCGGGCCCCGTCTCATCGCAACGCCTTTCCTTGTTTTTACAAATGGATTCTGCGGCCGGCGGCCCGAAGGGCCCGAAGGGCGAAGCCGACGAAGGGAAGGACCACAAAGCCGGCCTCGTCGGCTTGTCGGTCGCTTTGAAGGGCTCATTGCGGCACTGCCACGGCACTGCCACGCCACTGGCGGGCTGCGCTGCGTGGTCCGCGGTGGTGGCGCAGCCCCGCGCACCGGCCGGCCTCAGACCCGCACCTAGCGTCGCGCCGCCCCGCGCCGCCCCGCCGCGATCCTCCCGCATTGCCGCCATCGCACCCACACACTGTTTGTTGTGAGCAGTGACATCGTAGGGCCCCGTCCGTAACGTGACCGTTATATAAGCGTGCGCGCTGCCGCCACGCCGCGCCACGCCCCGCGGTGCAGCCGTCTCTCTCGCCGGCGTCGCGGCGTCTCTCTCGCTCCGTGGAGCCCGGCCTGGGTAGGCCTGGGCCTGGTGTGGCCTGCAAGACTCACAGCCACAGCACAGCGTGGTGGCGCGACGCGGCGACGCGGCGACGCGGCCCCCTCCCTTCCCGGCCGCACTGCCGCGCTGCCGCGCGCTCGGGGAGCTCGTGGAGGGAGAGGGAGAAGAGGGAGGCCCCATCCCGGCCCGGCCACGGCCCGGCCGCCCGGCCCAAGCCCAACGCGGAGCGAACGCGAAGGCGACCGCGGCGCGGCCGACCCGGCCAGTTGGCGTTGAACCGATGACGCGCGCGGCCGGGGCCGCCTTGGCGCGGACACAGCGCGCCAGTGAGCGCCGCGTGCTCTCGTAGAGCGTGCCCTCGTAGAACGAGCGAACAACGCGCGGGTGTTGAACGCGAGTGAAGTGCCCCTGTGGATTACCTTCTGCTGCTGTGCCTGTGTGTGCGAGTGTGTGTGTCATGTGCTTGTGAAGTGATGGAGTCTTTCGAGCGGATGGTGGTGGACCATCGCGGCGGATCGACGCCCTCCGGGTCGCGCGGCCCGCCGGACCTGGATCTACTGCTGCGCTACGCGGACGCCTTGGCCAAGCTGGGCCGAGTGCGGGAGTCCCTGCACGCCTTCGACCGCGCCGCGCGCCTGGCCGCGCCACAGCATCCCCACGGCCAGCACGGCCAGCACGGCCATGGCCAGAACGGCGTCGCCGTCGAGCGCCTGCGTCCCCTCGCCAGCGCCCTGCTGGACCAGGTCGGCGGCGTGGCGGCCGGCGGGGGCGGAGCCCACGACGCCAGGTCAGTGTGATGAACGCGCCCTGCGCTCTACTTTTCTATGTTGAAACACGCCCAAAGCGCCCCCGACGACAGCGCCTTGTCTGGTGGAAGCTAGGCCGTCGGTCTGGCCGCGGTGCCGCCCGTGTCAGTGACGTCTTTGAACCGCGGCGCGCGGAGGCAACGACCGCCGCGCCGGTGGTGCCGGCGGTACGGCGGTGCCGGTCCTGTACTGTACTAACCAGTTCCGGCGTCGCGGCGTCGCGTCGCGTCGACCCCTGCAGCGCAGCATCGCGCCGCCGCCCCGCGCTGGCGCCGCCCCCACCCCCTGCTGTCTGTCAATCCGCGCGGCAGCCAAGCTGAAGCTGAGGCCGGCGTGGTCCTCGCGGGGCGGCGGGGGCGGCGGGGGCGGCGGGGGCGGCGGGGGCGGCGGGCGCATCCCGTCGGCGAGGCGATGACTCGCGCGTCGAGCCGCCGCGGCCCCCGCGACCCCCTCCACGGCCGCCCGCGCCCCGCCAGGCTGCGGAGGCCCGCTGCGGGGCACGGTCAAGGTTGGTGTTCGCGGCCACGCGGCTGGAGGGGGCTGCTGGATCGCTGGAGCGGCCCGGGCTGCTGGAGTGGAGACTGCTTGTACTCCCTGGAATGTGCTCGACCCGCGGCCGCTGCAAAAGTGACGGGGCGAATTGTAGCCTGCCCCACCCCGCCCCGCCCCGCCCCGCCCCACCCCGCCTCGCCGCCCCGCCTCACCCCGCCTGCTGCCTGCACCCGCCGCTCGCCATGGTTAAGTTGATGACACGCCAGCCGGCGGTCTGGTTCCGAGCAGTGCCTCGCCGATCTGCCTCCCTCTCATGCCCATGAGTGCGAGAGAGACAGAGCGACGACAGCGAAGAGCGGTTGGGCTTTTCGGAACGCTGCGCTGCGCTGCGGCCGCCTGGAGCGATGGCGCCTTATCTTTATTTTCGAAAGACCACTGATTCTGATTACGTGTCGGCTCGTTCGTTGCTCGTTAGGGTCGTTGAGACGCGCGTTGAGATTGTGCGTGTCTGCCGAAGTCGTAACTGCCGTGTTTGCCGGAGATAACTCAATAATTTGGCCGGGCGGGGGAGGCAAATGGACGAGAGACTATCTCAACCGGACCGAAGGGAGGAGCCGCCTCACCGCCCGGAGGGAGGAAACTTCACTCCCGAAGAAAATTCATTTTCTTCTCCTTTGCAAATCCGAAAAGGCCCGCGGAATCGGGGAAGTCCTCTTTTTTTCTGGGCGTGTCGTGTGCTGCGTCAGCGGGCAACAGCACGGCAACAGCCTCGGCCTATCAGCGTCGCAGTTCGGCGGCGTCGGTGGCAGAAACAGCTTCGCGTCCTGGCTGGCCCGCGCCTGCTAGATACGGCGTAATGCCCTCTTAGCTAAGAGGTGTTCGTTGGCACACCTCTCCTCTGTGTCCCTCTCCTCTGTATGTGTGCGCTCGCTAAATGGAAGGACAATGAGCTGCTTCTCGGAAACGAGACGTGGGCGTTGATACGTGCATCAGCGGCTTTGGGCCGCGACGCCGCGCCGCGCCACGTTATGTAAGCCGGCGACAATGCTGCCGCGCGCCGCTCCATGCCGCTCCATTCAGGGAAATTGTGTGTCAGTGTCAATCACAATGACGCACATTTTGTTGTTCTTTCCGTTGTGCGCGCCGCTCGCCCTCCTGCCGTTCCGTCGTTGGAGCACCTCGTCGAGGAGTCGGCACCCTGAAGCGCCTCTGGCTCAGGAGAGCTTCCAGGTGTAATCCTCCCCTTGGTACTAGGAAGGCGGCGCCTGGAAGGTAGACAAAAGGCACTACTTCGCCCCTGTAAACAGGCTATTTGCAATACTTTACTCCCCCCCCCCCGAGCAAAATTCTGGCCCCGCGCCCGCTCTGGTTCGTGAGAGAATTCGCTCTGGTCGGCGACCGCGAACACTGCGGGGCGTTCCTATCTGTGACTTGCGCTGTTCTATCCGCGGTACCGCGGCCGATGGGTTCCGCCGAGGAGCACTCATTCATTTGGGGCCTGGAACGTGCTCTTGCCTGCCGGGTCCGTGGTCCGCGCCGGGAGGGTACCCTCTTAACATCGCCTCGTACGTGCCTGCGTACAGTGCGCCGGCGTGAGAAGGCAGGTAGTCTTGATTCAAGGCCTCAGCTTAAAACGCACTCAAATCCCATGAATTTGCACCGAGTCTTTGAACGAGAGACGAATCGCTTTGCACACCAGGAAATCGGCCACTGGTTTAATTGACTTGATCCAAGTCTGTACGTACACTTTGATTCAAGGCGGCTTGCTATGGTTCAAGTCGAAAAACTCGAAAACTTCGTGGGATTTTAAGGGGTTTAGGCCTCGAAACAGGAAAACCTCCCCTTATGTGGGGTGTATTTAGACTTTGTTCAAGTCCATGTAAACAAAAAGCCCAAGTCAAGTTTGCCTCTAGGGCTCTAATTAGAAGAGTGTACCAAACTTAGTTAGGAGTAAGAATCCATACTCATACCGTTGAAATATTCTCCTCAAGGGTTTGGAAGCCATGAGCGAAAAACTGCACTGTGTCAATTACTTTCAAAATGGCGGACCTGGGGCAACCCTGCGTTTCTCTAACTCACCTAGGACTCTAAGGTGTGGGTGCTCGGCGCGCTCAGTTGCCCCGCGGTGGCGCTCGGCGCGGTCACGGCCGGGTGGATGACCCCGCGCCGCCGCGCCGCGTTCCAGGCGTCCGAGTCGTCCTGCGGACCGATTCCGAGAGTCGTTTTCGCCGCTCCGTCTCTCTCGCACCCGAGCGGAACGCCCCATGAGTGCGAGAGAGACGGAGCGAAGGCGCGAAAGCAATCCGCTGCCTGGGCTGCCTGGGCTGCCTGGGCTGTCTGCCCCCCCCCCCCTTCCTCCCCCCGCGTACCGCGCGGGCCCTCTGGCCGATCAGACGTGAGCTAACTAGCAAAGCGAGCAAAGCGACTCGCGGCGGCGGGGCGGCGGGGCGCGGCGTTAGCTGCATGCAAAGCAAGCGGCCGAGGCGGGCCTCGACAACCAGACAACGACACATTGTCGCCCGGCAGGCCCGGCAGGGTGGCACAGACGGCACGTGTGTGTGTGTGTGGGGGGGGGGGGGGAGAGCAACCAGCTCAAAAAAGACGCTCAAACAAGAAGCTAGCAAACTTCCTGCTGGTCATTTGCATTTTCAATTCACGTGTCTTTCGTTTACGCGGGGCCGTCGCATTTTTTTCGGGGGGGAAGGAGGATGTGTATTGAGTTTTAATTTGTATTTTCGGTCAAACTGTCCTTTGACAAAAGGCTATAGAAAAATTCTTCTGCAACACTTTTTGTAAACAAGTTCTTTGCCCCCTCCAAAAAAATCTCCAAAATTCCACCTCTATTCCTTTCGGCGTGTGTGTATGGTTGCCGGTTTACAGATCAGTGCACCGGCGCGGTGCGAGTGACGGGCGTGGCGTGGCGTGGCGTGGCGGGTCCGTTGGCGTGAGAGAGTGAGCTTCATTAATACACTCCGGTGGCCGATCTACATCAAACTCGAGCAACACGTGTCTGTTGCCATTTGTAGTGCGAGGCCGGAGACGCTTGAGTCGTGCCGTGCCTCGCCACGCCACGCCACGCCACGCCATCGCCATGCCGGTCGTGGCTGAGTCATAAATGCAACATATTGAGCTGCGATAAAAAGACGCCAGACTGGCGGCGCCACGTGCTCTGCGTTCAGTATTAACCTCCAGGCCTCAAAGCGATAAAAATCCCCATTTGCATTTCTTTCGAGATTTTGGTTTGGAACATTTCGGGTGGGGCAACCCTGGGAACATTTATACGATCCCCTCTAGGATCTAATGGGTTTAATAGTTTTGTTTCTTTTGATTGGCCCGAATTTTTATGGCAACCACTGCCGTTGGGACCAAGGCAGCGTTGTAAATCTTAATGTTGTCCCCTGTTCGAGCCCAAATGACGCGCCGACGCCACTTAGAATAAGGGTAAAATAAATTTAAACATTGCATTGATTTGCACCATAACCAAGTCAAAGTAGGCGCGTGCCACAGGACGTTCCAAGCGCCTCCACTGTTTCTCACGCCGCGGCTCATTGTGTAAACGGTGCATTTCCACTCGCCCGGTCTGCGAGGCTGTGTACTATTACGCAACAATGCGATTAATAACTACAGTAATATTTTAATTTTGTGCTGTTGAGGTGCTGATGGTCGCCCCTGATTCCTGTCTAATAATAACCGTTGGGTTGGTTGGGTCCGCAGGCCGAGGGAGTTGACCAGCCTGACGTGCCCGGCCTGCGACTGCGTGCTGCAGTGTCCAGTGACCCTGCCGTGCGGACACACCAGCTGCAGGCGATGCCTGTCCGGCCGCGATGCCAGGCTCACCTGCCCCAAGTGCCCCTACAGGTGAGTGAAGGAAACAGGAGCACTCTCGGAAATGTGTTTGTCTTGACGGTCGGTGTTTGAACGTGCGTTGTTGTGCCCCCAGGACGGCGGCGGGCGCGCAGGTGGTGACCAACGTGCTGGTGCAGCGGCTGGTGGAGCGCTGGTGGGGCCAGGAGCTGCGGGCGGCCCTGCTGCGCGACCAAGGCAACGCCCTCTTCCACGACCGCCAGGTGCAGGACGCCCTGCGCAAGTACGACGAGGCCGTGCTGCTCGGTGAGTGCGCCTTGCTTGTCCCCGGCCCACAGTGCGCAGGCGGTCAAAATCCCGGACGCGTTTTGAGCTCCACAGTCGAACCGAACGAGTGACCCCACTAGCGGATTCCTCTCCGAACGAGGAACCCGTTGATGGGGTCGCACGCTCGGTTCGAGTCCTGTTTAGCGACTCTGGAGGTGAAAACGCGTCTAGAATTTTGGTCGCCTTCGCCCGTCTTCCGGCCCACTGTGAGGAGAAGTGCGAGAACAAAACCCAGTTTAAGATGAGCCCCGCGGCACACGGCGTGGCCTGGCGGCCTGGCGACCTGTCCAGCCGGGCTGGGTATTCGCGGCGCTCGGCTCGTCGTGTTTGTCAACACGTTGTTTATCTGGCGACCGGACTAAGCTGCTCACGACGGCGGGGCGGAGAAGCCGATGCCGATTGGGTTCTGGTGAACGGGATGAGGCGACGAAGAGTTTTCCCCGCTTCTTTGCCTAAACCTGACTAGCACACTGGTGCTGCGTGGCTGCGTGCTGCGTGCACCCTCTGCCGGACGGCCGCACGGAGCGGAAACTGCCGCGCCTTTGATGCTGCCGCGCTGCCGCCCGTTCCACCAAACCTTCTTTTTTGGCATCACGGAGGTGCGTGTGTTTTTTGTTTCTTCACGTTTTATTTTGCTTGTGCGTGCTGCTTGGGCCCCTCTGGCCCGGCCCGGGCCTGGCGTATCATGGGCACGGCCGGAGTCTGACAGGTGGTACTGCTCCCGGGCAAACCACTCTGCAGCAAGGTCGAGGGGGCGGGGTGTCGTGGAGCCCGCCCCGCCTCGGCCCCGCCTCGGCCCCGCCATCGCCGTGGCCCCGCCGCCTCGACCGAGGCCCACCTGGCGGCCCGTCGCCCGCGCCATCGTCGCCCTGTCCCTGTCGCACCTGCACGGCGCGCCCCGCGGCCCCGCGAGTGCGAGAGAGACACGGCGTGCTGCCCCGGCCGCCACACTGCCACCGGGCCGCGCCAGCACTGCCGAAAGGCCGAATGGTCCGGTCCATTCCCCACGTGCCGGTCGGCCGACCGGGTTCCCGCTGGAGCGTGGCGGCGCGGCGGCGCGGCGTGAGCGTCCGCGCCGACGTGCGTCATCGCGGTGGTTTTGGGCGAGCGGCGCGGCGCGGCGCGTCCTCCGCGGTGATGTCACGGCGGAGGCGTCGCGTCACCGGGGCGGCCCGGACGCCGTGACCCGGGCGTCGTCGGGCGTGACCGGGGCGCGCGCTTCGTTGCCAACATGTAGGGCGCGACCTGGTTCCACCCGCAGAGCGACGAGCCGTGCCGGTGGAGGGCTCGCCATTGCCGCCCGCCTGGTTGCAGCTATCGATGTCCGCCACCAGATAAAGCGGGAAGCTTTTGGAACCGCCACTAGACCCGCGAGCCCCGCGAGCCGCCAGCGCTCGGCCTACACTGTCCATTTCGTCCCAGCCGAGTCGGCGGCGCGGCGCGGCGGCGGTCCCCGATCTTTGCTCTTTGAAATCCAATCCCAAGCGGCGAATGAATGAATGGAGAAGCTGGCTCGCCTGGGCGGCCAGGCTCGTGGCTCACCGCGCCAGATCCGCGTCCCGCGTCGCCCCGCGTCGCCGCGCGTGGCAGAAACAAAACAGAGGAGACTGGGTGCAGGCGGTGCAGGAGACAGGCGGCCGACCGGGCGCTTCGCTAGCTTCGCTAGGCTCCTCGCTCGAGGCATCAAGTGCCGCAAAGAGCGTTACATAACGCGGCCGTCACTCCGCGTCACTCGCCTCGCCGCGTTGCCGCCGATTCGCCGCCCGGCCCGACCTTTGCTGGCTCCGAACGGCACCTGTTTTCGGCCGGAACGGAAACCGCCGACTACGGCCGAGTGCCGACCGACTATCGCCGAGATACCCGCTATCGCTTCGCGGCCGCCGCCGTGGCGGTAGGCAACCTCGCGGTCTATGCGCGCACGCGTGCGTAGCGGGATGGCCTACCCTGGTGGAGCCAGGCGCCGTGGCGGTAGGCAACCCTCCGTCATGTCGCACACGCGTGCGTAGCGGGATGGCCTACCCTGGTGAAGGCAGGCGCCTAGCCCGTAATGGTAATGGTAATGTGGCGGTAGGCACACGCCTGCGTTGCGGGATGGCCTACCCCGGCGGAGCCAGGCGTCAAGCGCTCCGTGTCGCCTACGCGTGCTGGCAGCGGTCGCCTCGGCGGCAAAGTCAGCGACCGTCGGCGAAGTCCGCCGTCACGCGCGCTACCCGCCGGGCCCCACCACGCGTGCCGCTGGCGTGCCGCTGGCGTGCCGCGGGCCCTCGGCGACGGTGGCGCCCCCGCCTTCGCCGCCTTCGCCGCGCCCGAAGAAGAGGCCCCAAATACACGTTATGCAACTCGGCGGGCGGGCGGCGCGGCCGGGCCTTGGCGCGCTCTGCCTGGCCGTGCCCCGCCCGGCCGCCACCGCTGCACTGTAAGGGCAGGCCGGCGGGGCGAGGGCGAAGGGCGGCAGGGCGGCGCAGGCGGTGCAAAGTCTGTTTGCATTGGCCGCGCCTCCGCGCCGCCGCGCTGCGCTGCGAAGGGCAGTGAATCCGTATTGGACGGGTGCCTGCACGTGGCGCTTCGCGGCGTGGCGCGGCGTGGCGCGGCGTGGCGGCCAGGGGTTTGAGGTTTACATAAGCATGCGCCATGCGCCGCCATCGGAGGCTCGGGTTTTCCTCGTGTTTTTTTTTCGGGCCGGTGTGGCGCGGCACGGCCGACTTAGCTGCAGTTTTGTCTATGGACTCGGTCAATGTTTGCGCCGGTTTCATATATTTTTCATTTGAGTCCGTGCGCACTTGAGTGCCGGCATACCGGCCGCCTTTTTGTGTTGGTGGTGATGAGGTCACGGGCTCGCGGCGTGAAAGAGAGAGAGAGAGGGGGGGGGACCGGCAGAGGTGTGGCGTGGGAACATTTTGCGCCGCGCTGTGTGGCTTCGCTTGCTTGGCTCGCTTCGCGTAGCTTGGCGGGGCCAGCCCCGGCGAGCCGGCCGGGCCATGCCGCGACTCTCGGCCGACCATCTCCATTCAACCGCAACTGCATTTTACACTCTTGAAACGAGGCGTCCCGAATGTGCGAAATGCGTCTGGCAGTGTGGGCGCCGAGAGCGCGGGGAGTGGGAGTGGGATTGGGGTTGACCCGCCGATCGCATCGTAACCGCGTTTCGGAACGCTGCCAGCGCGGCGGACGGACGGCAAGCCCTTGATCGCGTGGAAAGGGAAAAACTGTGCCCCTTTTTGTCGGAACCCTTATGTCACCGGCGCGGGAGGGGAGGGGAGGGGAGGGGAGGGGAGGCTGGCGGCGCGGGCCGGCAGGACGCGATTGGGAAACGCGGTGGCGGGCGGCAGGCCGTCCGTAGGGCGGCCGGGGCAAAAATCACGCAACTGACGCACGCCTGGAAAAGATACGTAACTTTGCTTACGAAAACTCGGCGAGGCGAGCGTGGCAGGGCACGGCGCGGCCCCTCGCGTCAGCAGTGACTCGCAGTGACTTGTCACGAGCCGTTTGCGGTCAGCCTACTGCGCGCCTACCGGTGTGCGGGTAGTGTGAGGTACGGTGCACCGCTGCTTGACATTTTCGAACCGAGCTGTTTTATCCCGAAAGATGCCTCGGCCGCCTCGGGTCGAACCGGCTCCGACTAAGAAATCCGAGACCCGAGAATCCAAACCCGAATCCCGTCTGTGGCACTATACAGTTGGTGGGCGTTGAGAGGAGAAGACGCCTGCTGCTGTCGCTTGAGCCCGTCCCATCCATGTCCCATCTCATGATGATGATGATCCCATCCCGACAGTGCCGGAGTGCCGGCAGTCCGGGGTCCCGGGTGTCCTCGGCAGATGGCGCCACCGTCGCGCCACTGGCAGCCACTGGCAGCCACTGGCTGGCACTCCGCTCGTTGTTCCGCTCGTAATTCGTCGCGCATGACGAGATCGTCCAGGCCGTTGAGTGATTTATTCTTAAATTGGCCTAACTCGGCTCGTGACGCAAGGCGGCGAGGCTCGGCGCGTTACATGGCGTGTTTGTCCGTTTGGGCCGTAACCGTCTCGTTTACGTGGGCGGCCGCCCCCCTTCGGGCCTCCAGGGGGCGGCCACGCCGGCCACCCCGCGCCCCGCCGCCAGGGCCGAGGCCGAAGTTACTCCGGATGGAGTGTAGTCGCCGACGGCAACGGATGGGCTGGCCAGGCTGGGCTTGGGCTTGCCGGCGACGAAAATAGCGCGCGGAGGTGCTGCGCGGCCGCAGTGGCGTGGCGCTGCGTGGTCCAGCGCCATCCCCCGCCCCGCCACCGCGACGTTGTCATGCGCCGCGCCGCGCCCGGCCACTTGGTCTGCACTTACTGTTGGCGGGGCGGGGCGGGGCGGGGCGGGGCGCCGCCGGCACTACAACGAGGCTCTCTACGAGTAGCGCGTCCTGTCGGGCCCCTCACGCGCCACGTCCCGTTGTCGCCGTGCCATTCAGCACCATTCAGAGGAGCGCCTCGTCGCGCTGCCGCTCCCGCACTGCGAGTGCGACAGAGACGGAGCGGCGGGCCGACCCGACTCCTCCCTCGGAATCAGCCAGTGTGGGGTCGGTGTAGCCATGGTGTAGCCAACCAAGATGGAGAGGCCATGAGCGCCCGGCCCGAGGAGCGCCATTAGCTGACTAGTAACTTATGTTTGCCTTGTTTTCTGGGTGTAGGTGCCATCTGCTATGCCCCCCCCCTCCCCGATTGGCGTCCGCGTCGGCAGGTACACCACCGGCCGCCCACTCGCAGCCTCCTGCCTCCTCGCAGCTGCTGGTTCGAGCTTCACGCTCGGAGCAGGGGCCGGGCCCGCCGGGCCGTTGCCGGCAGCAGAGTCGTTCTCGTCGCTCTGTCTCTCTCGCACTCACGGGGCGCCCCGTATTGGCGCGAGAGAGACTGCCGCGCCAGTCTGCCAGTCGGTCGCCATAATGCTGCGGCCTGTGGCTGTGCCTGTGGCTGTGCCTGTGGCTGTGTGGCCCGGTGCATAACCAGTTTTGTCAC